AAATGCCAAGAAGACAAGGTCTTATGGACCAAGCCGACTGGGAGCTACAGATTCAACAATCAGCCGTGAGAGGCACGCGAAGGCGGAGGAGTTCTGACGCACATGGACCCAGCAACAGCACAGAGAATAAACTGTCAGTTCGCGAGCAGGCAAGACAGTTTGAGCAGCAAGCCTTCCTGGAGCATACCCCCAAACAAACCAGGGACTCTCTTGGCTCCATTGCCTCCGTCCTTATCAGGGATATGGACAGTGATGACATGCTGGAGCTGACCTCAGAAACCCTTCTCTCCATTATGGATTACCCTCAAAGCCCCTTGTCTGTGGGCAGAGACGTGCCCCCCGAATTCATCATTACGGAAGCGGATGACTCGTGGCGCCTGTTCAACCAGAAACCAACTCCACCCGTTCTGAGGAAGTTCAGCTCGAGCATCTCCAACTTCATGACAGTACAGCCTTGCCAGATCACTGTGGAGATTATACCAGACCCACCAGATAATCCTCCGCCTCCTCCTCCTGGACAGCCATATCCTCCATCCCCACCTTTACCATCTCCTCATTCTGGTCCTCCTTCTTGTCCACCTTCACCCCCTTGCCTTCATAAACCTCAGCATAACCCTATTTGTTCTCCTCCTCCTCCTCCTCCTCCTCCCCCTCCTCCGCCTCCTCCTGTCAATAAACCTGCTCCTCCTCCACCCCCACCACCGCTTCCTCCAGTCTCACCTGCCACCAATCAGGCACGCCCCGTCATCCAGTTTGTTCCAGCTTCTATACCTCCCGTGTCTTCGCTCCGTCCTGTCTCGGAGCGGAAACACCCCCCTCGTCTTGCCCAATCGGACACTGACTTTGGGACTAAGAAGGAGCTTAAAGGGATTCTAAAAAGCATCCAGAATCTAGCCGACATCGAAAGATCAGTTGCCAACCTTTACAGTCAAGTGGACAAAAACTGCAAGGTGCCCAAATTTAATAAGAAATTTCCTCATGTGGATGAGGAGCCAGAGGGTACTAACTCACTGCAAAGCTCTGATCCAGGTGACGTGCAGAGGTCGCCAAAAAGAACTCAGTCCGGCTCTGACATCCAGATCGATTCAACAAGTGTGAACCATGATAACGGTGGAGAGAATTGGCCGAATCAAGCAGAGAAGCTGAACTCAAACAGCCTAAACTGTGCTGAGCTCAGTGAACAGTCCTCTCAGTCCACAGTATTATAAGCTCTTCTCGTTTCCATTTCTTGTTTCTTTTTTTTCCTTCTCATTCTACTTTTTACATTTTGCACTGTTGGCTGTGTTTTCTATTTGCTTTGGCCATGTAAGAAAATTGTCACGGAGATTTATAGAGAAAAAAAAAAGTCTTTTTTACTTGTTACTTTGTTTGGGCAATAAATTTTAGTCAACAGCCAAATGTGGAAAAGTCTGCTGTTGTCCTCATCTGCCTGCATTAGATTCATTGTGCATTTGCCTCACTACATTTCCACTTTTTTATTATCAGAATTGGTGTCAGATCTGTGATAGTGTTAAGTATGTCCGGGAGTTTACACACTATTTGGTTTATCGTGTTTTATGGGTGTCCCTCCAGTTAACATTAATATTTCATGGCTAAAAACACTTTTAATTAAATTATACTAAATACCAGTATTTGAAACTCCACAGCCCTGAGGTCTGTTCCCTGAACCATTTGCTAGCTGCAGATTGGCGATTTAGAATATGCTCTTTTGCTGGTTACAAAGATAAGAGCTTTTAATTTTGGATGGCTGTTGCTTCCTTCAGAATTAAATTATACATAAGTAAAGTAATATAAAGTTTTTTCAAGCATGAGAAAATGGCCATAACCTTTTTCCCTGTTCCCCTAAAGGTATCCCTATCTCTGAAATACCCTTTTGCTTATTCTGTAAGAGTGGTCATTTAATAATCTTTTAGATTATTTCAATATTTGCCGCAGCAGGTAGTCCGTCTACTCAAAGGTGTTTGTGACGTATATGTGAAAATAAAACACATTAGCTAGATGCCGTTTAGCCACGTGCTAAATAAAACAGCGGACTTCTCGAGCCTGTCTTCCCACATGTCTACAGAGGCCCTCTCAAATGATAAAGTGCTCCCAGTGATGTTGGTCTTCACAGTGAAAAAGGCTAATTAGAGAACCAATCAATCGTTAACCAAGGCTGCTGCCTGTGGGACTGTCGACTGCTGTTACCTTCTCCATCTCCTCTCCTCTCTCATCCCTCTGACCCTCAGAAAAGTCTGTTTCTTTCACTTACTTACCCTCTCCATTCAATTAATCTAAAGCTTTCCAATCCTTGACCTCTTCTTGCTAATCTTAGCACGTGGTTTTGAAGACACACTGTTAGATTCATTCAAGTAATTGAAATGCAGGTTTTAGTCTCTCTTCCCTTTTTTTTTTCCTGTGCACAGTGTTTTTCCCACTCTTTTCTCTATTTTTCACATTCGTACCCATCATGTTTTTTATTTCTCCCTCCATGCCCCAAGGCAAATGGACTTAGCATACCTCACATCCAGAGCAACGTCATGTTTGATTCATCACTCGTTCCCCCTGAAGAGCAGATCGAAAGCTGGCTAATTTTGTATTCCATGTTCACTACATGGGGTAATCTCTTTTGCAAAAAGGCAAGCACTTCACATGCTGTTTCTTTTAACCCGAAGAATTGCAAGCCATAATGGAACCATAATGGATGGTATTCTTGATATTCAATTTATATAATTGTTTTTATCAATCTCCTTTGTGCGCCTGCTGATGATTAGGAGAAGTTCAGTGCAAGAAAAAAAAACTAATTTTGGGGAATGATTTAAGAATGAAATTAGGGTAGAGGAAAGGCTTTATTTATTTTTTTGTATAAGTATATATATATAGTATAAATGTATCAATACAGGTTGCCACAGTCAAATATTTATTTGACATAAGAGAAAGCCCCATCAAGATGTATTTCTGCCTTTATACAAATCAATCTAGAACACAAGAATGTGCATGACACTCTTATGTATAACACGGACCCCAGCTGCCATGGTCTTTTTAGTAGGTTGTGTGTTAGCATACCATACTAACCTGCTCAAACGTAATGCCTGAAATCAAACCACCGGCATAATGTTATTGTTTGTATTTGTAATAGGATTTGTCCAAAGGCAGTAATCCATTCTTCTCTCCTGTATTTGTTTTTTTAATTTAGTGTGACATCTGTTAAATGCTGCATGATTGATAGAGCCATGGTTATTTCCATTTACTGTTGGTATTGTTTGGAGTAACAATAGAGAAACCACACTCTCGAATTTGGGTGCTCTCCTACCAAACCATTCCAGACAAACTGTCAGGTATAGATACCCACTTTGTATTGGTCACTTGCTTTGATGTTGGGTCTTCATCACTAAGAAAAATTATACAGTAACATCAGGAGTTACCTCAGTTATATTAAGTTTTCTTAGAATAAACTAATTTGTAAATATTAAGTATTATGATATCCCATTTTTATTTTCATATAAAATTATGCAGAAATGGCTAAAGATAAAGCTACATATCACCCAACTTGTACACATTCAGTATGCTTCTTGCTGGGACTCTGAGGAAGTCATTCTCACCTTTATTTCCACACAGTTCTTTTCATCTTCCTCCAGGTCCTCCTCTTGTGTAAACCTCCTCTGGCTTCTGTTCACTTGGTCATTTTTCATGATGTTGCATGAAGTAGCAGTGACCAGCAGTCCAATAGGCCATCCATCAGGTCCAACTCCCATCATCTGCTCTGCCTGGGAGGTGTGGCATATGGCCGCCCTGTCTATGCCTCCTGGTTTCTGCCCATGATAATAAATAGCAACTCTCTAGGGGAATGTCATATCATCACTTCACCATCTATCCAAGTGTGACATTTCTCACAGACAAGTTACACCGATAAAAATGTAGCTATAAATAGAAACACATTTATTTATATACAGATATGGTTATATCATTTTATGTCCGTAATGTGTCCACCAGCATGTTAACTTGGCACCTTAGGTACCCCTTTGGAAAATGAACAATATCTGCATTTGTTTGTGATTAAGCGCATGCACAGTAAGTACAGCTGCAACTTCCTGACTGGTCAGCAGAATGTCGGCACAATAGCTTTGAAGTCTTCATGTTTAATTTATTTAAGAGCACTTGAAAAGTTGCTGTCAAACTGTAATTATTTTTTGCCCTCTCTTTCCTTACCTCTGCAACACACAGGAGGAAAGGCTATGGCAGACAGGTACGCAAGTTTTTTGTTATGTCTTATTGTGCTGATACATTTTGTCACAGATGGCAACTTGACGTAGCTTGTATACTATTATTCTTATCTTCAGTTCAGTTGATGGAAAGCATTGAATGGCATTAAGATGAGATCCTTGTTGTACTGCTTCTACAACTCACATTACAGTTCAGATGTGATGCATTATTTTCTCCATGCTTCTTGTACAACTGGAGATAAACATTTGAATGAGTTTTTCTCTGCATCACATATATAATCTAAGATCTAAAGAAGAAAAGACTTCTCTGTTTGACAATGTATGGAACTGAAATCCATTTGTCCTTTACAAATCACGTTTAGGTTGTCAAATTTAATAAAGACCAAAATGTTTGTCTTTGTTGCAGTTTTCCGCATCTCCTTTGCTTATTTAGCATCTTTTATTTTCTTCCTTTTTTGGTTTCTATCAATACTGCAATGATTCTTTGCACCTTTTTCAGAGAAGTGTTTTCTGCCTTTTGATCAGAAGTTAAATAGTGAATTCCTCATTTGTTTGTGCCTTTCCTGAACATTCCTGCCTTCCATTCCCTCATCTGTCTTCTTTGCCAATCTTTGGCAGCAACAGCAACTGCTGAGGCCATCTCTTCTAAGACCAGAGGTAGACAAATTCCTGCTTTTTTCTTAATTCACAGGGATTCTGTCCTATACCCACTCTCTATGCTGCTGCAACTGCTCCTCATCTGCTATCTTTATCTCAAAGATGCTGAGCAATTTCTCTTTCTGCTTCTCTCAAATGCAGGAACTCTCCATGGAGTCAGGTATCGACCCAGGCCAAGACTACTACACACAAGACTACTATAATTATGACCAAGGGTGAGCATGCAGCCAGTCACATTTCCCATTAGTTATACTGTGTCCCATAGATGAATTCCCTATCGGTTCATTTGAAGTTTAAAAAAACTCTCATAACTATCAAAACTGTGCTTTTCCACTCTTAGCGTTGAGTTTCTTGAGAGATCAAAATCCGCTCAAAAACATTTTGCAGAAATTTATGCGGATTTATTCCCTCACTTCAGGGTTACATAATATTGACCCATTCCCTCTGCTATTCCCATTAAATGAGATCAATTACACTGGCTTTACTTGTGCACCTGAGACTCTAAAGATTTGTCCCGTAGCCTAATGGATTAAGGGTGTTTTGGCTACACTGTTATATTACCCATATGGTCAAAAAAGGAAAAACACGGACCTCAAAGTCATAACAACTGCTGATAAATTATTATTCATCAGACAATCCTGCTCTGTTGCAGGTAACTTGCATTACTGTGGGGAATTATGTTGCAAATCTGTCAAAGCAGTTTGAGGTTTTTACACTTTGAAGGCTTTGATCAGTCAAAGCATTTGTAACTTATGCTCAAAACTGTCCCTTGTAAGGTGCTTTATTTTTGTCTTTGGTTGGTCACCAGCTTGCACTAATTCTAATTGCTGTCTTTTAATCACACTTGCCTTCATTTACAGTGGTTTCTGGCATTTTTTAATGATATGTCACTATCTGTGTTGTAGAAGTTGCTAAGTAGTGATTTGTCGTTGTTTTTTGTTTCTCAGATACGACTTCCCTCAGTATGGCAGTCGGAGGAGGTTGATACCTCCCATGTATGATGAATATGGAGAGGTGATCATGGAGGATGATGGGTATTACTACAGTCCACATGGACCTGAGGTATTAATTGTGAATGTCACAAAAATGGGCACTATCATCCTCGTAGTACCTGGATTTCCTGTGTCTTATTGAAACAACTGTGTCAGCGTTATGTGATTTCCCATAATTGTGGCTGTATATTCAGAAAAGATCACTGAATGAAATATGACTGTTTTAGGGCCGAGGCAGAGGCCGTGGTGGAATGCGAGGTAGAGGTCCACCGAAGAGGGTTGCATTTAGGGACTTGCCACAAGAGGAGGAAATTGAACAAGCTGAGCCGGCAGGAGAAGGTGAACCCTCTAAGGCTGCCAAGAGACTGAAGTCTGTCATGAAACTCAGTAAACTCCTGGCAGCCAGCAAGGGAGGAGAGGAGCCATCTGACACCGGCCCTTCTGGCCCCTCTCCATGGAAGAGAGCCAAAATGCTCAAGATGTTTGGCGCTGGTAAGAAGGACAAGGATTACGCCAAGCTGATGTCAGCCCGCCGCATTGACAGCCAGGAGAGTCTGACCGACAAGCCAACACCTTTGGGACCCATAGACAGCAAGTCTGATGCCCGCAGTCGACTTAGCAAAGTTTTGAAGAGAATTAACTTAAGCAACAAGTTGCAGGTCAGGAGGAAGTCACAGAGCAGTTTGAGTCATAGCTCAGCCACAGGCAGTGAGAAAGACGAGGAGGCCTCAAAGGCCACCAGTGAGGATGAAAGAAAGTCTAAAGTGTCTATTAGTGTGACTGAAAGTGAGCCAGAAGCAAGTGGAAGTGGAGGCAGCAAGGAAAAAGACTCCGATGAGGAGTCTTCAGAGAAAAGCAGTGTCGACAGAGATTATCTGAAAGTCGATTTAGAAAGAGATGATACAAACGAAAGTACTGTTGACTCAGAAGAAGAGCAAGAGGAAGAGCCAGGGGATTCTGATGAGGAGAGCAAGTCCAAATCTGAAGACGAGGAAACGGAGAAGGAATCTGTTAGTGACAAAGAGTCTGGGAGCGAAAGAGATTCAGAGTCAGAAAAAGAATCGGAGTCAGAAAAGTCCTCGGCTACAGAGAAAGAGTCAGAAACGGAGAAGGGGTCAGACTCTGAGGAAGAGTCTAAGTCTGAGATAGAAACCGAGTCAGGAACAGGCACAGCAACAGAAAAAGAAACTAGCACAGAAAAGAGTTCGGCCACAGACAAAGATTCTGACGAAGAGTCCGGGGAGGAAGAGGCCTCGGGCAGCACTCAAGAGAGTGGGTCATCTGCACGCTCTTCGATGAGATCATCGGCCACCAGGGCCAGCGGGAGCAGCAGGGCCTCTGGCATAAGCGATAGCGGGAGCGGTAGCAGGGAAAGTGCAAGCGAAAGCGTCAGCGGTGGTGTGAGCAGTGTGGCGTCTTTATCTGGCTCGAGTGCAAGATCGTCACAGAAAACCACATCATCGAAAATGACATCGGAGAAGTCCAGCGAAGAAGTCAGCGAGGCCGAGTCAGGGACAGGGACAGCCAGTGATGCAGAGTCCAGATCAGGAGGTGAACCCGCTTCATCTCGCGGCTCCAGCAAAAGAAGCTCTTCGGGTTCAGACTTCAGCGAGAAGTCTTCATCGGCCAGTCATGCAACAGACCAGAGTTCCCAGGGAGGCAGGGAGAGTTCAGCTGTTTCCCGCTCCACTGCCGGGAGTCGGCGTTCCCAGAAGACCGTCCGGAGCCAAGGGTCCCAGGACACAATCACCGAGGAGTCTGAAGATGAAGAGGAAGACGCTGAAAGCACTGATGAAAGCAAAGAGTCTGCCAGTGAGGTCAGCGATGACTCATTATCTGGGAGATCAACCATGGCGTCAGGTGACCCGGGGCCCTCTGCCCCCTACAGCGCTCCTCCCTACAGCACTGAGATCAGAAGCATCGGCACCTCTGAAGAAACATACGGGGGGCTGTCCCCCATCACCGAAGTGGACGAGGATGCCATCTCCTCTGACAAATCCTCAGTCAGTGGCTCCAGATCAGGGACTGGTAGTGCATCAAAGGACACAGAAGAGACCGAGGAAACGTCAGAAGCCGATTCAGAATCTGATGGGAGCTCGACAGCCTTCTAGAATGATATATTGTCCCCTGTGAAGTAAGAGTAAATAAAATCAATTGCCCTTGCATGGGAGTGGAAAAATATTGCCTTCCTTTACAGTGTTTCAAGCATTCACTTTTTCTCATTTTCCCTGAACAAGGAAAAACCTTGATGGTGTTCTTCTGCAAATGAATCTCACACTTTCTCTCTTATGCCGCTGAATTATTGCTCACTCGAATGTTTTCTGTGTGCTCCTTCATCCCTTTTCATTTTTGACTCCAGTTTCAGCTGTGAGATTTAGCATGTTACAGTACTGTCCTCTTTTCCTGCCTGTTCCCTTGATGTTTGGAAATCCATTCACAGAGAAACAATTTTTTTAATGTAATATTTTATCATAAAAAGATGAAGATAAGTGGCTGATTTTGTAATCTGATTTAGTTTTACGTGTGTAGGAAATTTGGCATCTTTTAATGAAATGATCAAACTCATTTTAATTCAGATAATTTTGCGGTTGACATGTATCTAACGCATAGTCTGAAGCTGATACAGGATACTGCATTTAGTTGCTAAATGTTAAACGAGGCTAGCAGAGCAGTTTCCCCAAAGGTGGAAAATATTCTGTTTCTTTCGTCATATATAAGAGACCAAGCGGCAGAATTGCTGAAATGAGCACATAGTTATTTCAGTGTCTGAGAGTTTGTCACATTTCTTCTGTACAAACTGTAAAATATGATAAGCAATAGCTCATACTGTATTTAATTCTTTTTGGATTAGGGCTAACTCACTAATGTTTTTTTTAATTTCCCATAATGTGAATCAACCCTGTGGACAATTAAAAAAAACAAACAAGCAAAACCCATGAGGGGTGAGTGAATTTCAGAATTCAATCTGCATTATTTAAATTTGAATTGCCCACCTAGATAGATAAACAACAGAAGTTATTTGTTCTATCCTGAAATCCTGAAAAATCGATTGGATACATTTTTTTCTGAGAAAAAATAAAAATCCTATATTTTTTGCCGAGAGTTCTCTGTGAATACTATTATCTCAATACCTGGTGTGAAACCTCAATGCCTGTAGTGGTTTGTTTTCATTTTCATTTTTAGAGACTTGTTTAAAGTTTGCCTCATGTTTAAAAGATAGAATTAAATATCTATATTTATTCTAACGACCTCCTTCTCTTTCTCACAGCCTGGGAGAAAGAAGAGAATTAAACTAGTGGTAGATCGGGAGAATGAGACCAGTTCCACAGGAGAGGAGAGCACGACGGAGAGCCAGCGGAGCAGACTTCCCAACAGCCACATCAACGGGAACATTTACCTCGCACAGAATGGCACCATTGTCCGCACTAGGCGGCCTCCACATCTAAACAACCTAAAGATGGGTTCTCCCTGCCGTCTGAGTAAGCATTTCAAACAGCTTGATAAATTGGGTGTCACTCATGAAGAGCCAAACTCTGTTGTTAGCTTGGAGGGTTCTGAAAACGACGCAGAGAATGACATAGGTAAGTGTGTTTCCTCTAACAAGGATGTAAACCTTAACACTCTGGCAAATTGTGGCTCTTTGGGGTCCACTATCGCAGATCTAAAAAGTTTAGGCTCTAAAACCAATATTGGCCAGACTATGATTGACAGAGGCAGCCCGTGCATCAACAAACAAGAGACTTCTGTTGACAACCATAAGAACAGCAGAGAAACATTGGAGTTACACAGTGATCACACACTGTCAGATGAGGAGGAACTGTGGATGGGACCATGGAACAGCCTACACATACCAATGACAAAACTCTGACTGGCCACGCACAAAATTTCATTTCATTTAGTCATTCAACCTTTTTATTTGATCAGAGTTTAGTTTTTTTGTTTAGTTTTTTGTTGCTAAGAAAATGATCAAATGTGTGCCTCAGCTGGAAAAGCTCCAATCTCTGACAAAAGAAATATAGAATTTTATGTGAACCAAGCGTAACTATAATTTTAGTTTTTATATCGAATGCAAAAGATGGTCATTTTTTAACAGAGGGAATTCTTGCTCTCCTTTGTTTCTCTTGATTCTTGTTGTTTTAATCCTTAAACGGATCATATCCCTGCCTCGATAAAGATATTTACAGAGAAATCATGGTGATCAGATAAAGAACTTGTGATTATACATTATGAAAAAGAAACTTATTTTGCTAATAGTGCTTTACTCGCAAATGAAGCAGATTGTCATTGATTATTTTATGTTGTGGTTACTTGGAAACATTTTTGAAAATTTCTGAAAAATATGAAATTATTTTTGTCTATTTTGTATCTAACAGAGATGGAGAGTCTAACATGTGACATTAAATATATTCTATCCACATGATTATCGCTGCTGAATTTCAACAGTGAAGACTGACATCGTAGTGTTTTTATATGGACATTTGTACCCACAGAATATGATATTTTCAATCCCTTTACACAATGCAGATTCACTTTGTCCATGTCATGATTATGGAAGGAATACCAAAAACGGTATCACATTAAAAAATAAATCTCTCACCTATTTCTCTGTGTATTGTGAATTATGATTTCAAATACTGGCAGCTTCTGAACTTTAACTTGATAGAGTGATGGAGAAACTTGGATGACGTTAATAGCTGCACACAATTAAGAGAGTGTATATTTCCATCACTGTGTGCCATGTTTCACTTTATAAAAGTATAATCCCAGAATTGCATAACAAGGTTTAAAATTGAATGGGAAGGCTGCAGTTTTCTCCTTACAGTTCAGAGCCTTCACTCCACGGAGTGGTCTTTCCCTTTTAAGAAAACTGAACTAAATATGAATATATGTCAAGCTGCTGTCTCTCCAAAAAGCTGTAAGAGTGTCAGGAAGAGTCAGAAAATAACAGTATTGAAGCCACTTCCTTACTTGAAATACTGAAAAAAGAAATGTTTTTAAAACTAAAAAAAACACACCAAGTTGAAATGGGAATGGAAGTTGAATTTGCTTAACAGAGTGACACATCTAACACATGCAGAATGACATTTACAAAAAAAAGGAGTCGTGCAGTCAATCAAACTATGAGAATGCCAGTCGAGTTTGCAGAATAGTGTTCAAAAGTAAGTTGAAGCTGAATGCCACCATGTAATAGCTTGAGAAGAAAATAATTCACAGAAAATAGGTCAACAGGGAATCCAGCTCCTGCTGCAGCCTGCCTTGTGCCCTGAAATCTTTTTGTCAGACATAAATTAAAAGTAATTTAGTATGAAGAGAAAAATGTCTATGTGACCATGTTTTCAGATAAAATCGAGTTTAAAAAAATCAGCCTTGAGAGGGGTTTAAAATGTGTGGAATCCACCACTTTCGACATATTCTGCATGCATTTGAAGATGCCATGTCTTCTCAAATGAAAAAATAACTGTGATAAATCAAAAACAAAAGTGCATTCTGGTTGAAATTGGAACCCTTTTACGTTGTTGAGTGGTAGAAAAACATGTTTGAATATTTGTTTTAGTGTGCAAAGTGGCTACTTACTGGACCACAGCACCTCTTCAGATTCCATATTGACAGTTGTGTGACAGAAGCATTAGAGAGTAGATTGGAACGCATAAATGGATGGCAAAGTGGGAGGAGACAGAGAATTCATTTGGCGTTGTGAGTGTTGAGTTTAAACCGCGCGTGTTCGGAAAAGCTCTGCCACATTACGCTAATGGACAAGTTCCAGTTTAGTACCAATTAGCTTCTGTAGCTTATCAGGCTTATGAAGTTGACTTGTTTTGCGCCTTGTCCCTGACAGGCACAGCAAACAGTGGACCAAATCCTCTTTTAGCACAAGGAAAAATCTGAAGTCTTTAAAAACAGTCAATTATTCAACAAATTGTTGTAAAATTGTATGTTTGTGTTCAGACTAGTGTCCTCTAGCCCATTGTTCTGGATTGAATCATGAAATATTTTTGGCTGTTCTTATGTGCAACTTGTCTGATAATTTCAAGCCTTATAAATGAACTCTTAAAGAGAGGAAATGGCATTGGATAACAGAAAAATCCATCTACACTGTCATTTTTTCAAACACAAGGCTCCTGTGTCCTTTTTGTAAAAACTAATGAACTGGATTAAAACCCAATGAAATTGTAGAAATTAAATTGAAAAACTATTGATATCTTCACAGCTGTGGTTGAAGAGAAAATTGGTCAAATACATTATTTTATTCATGTAACAGCAAGGATATTGATGGTTGAGTATAAGGTAATTATAGTAAGGCAGATGTTATGTTCCACATCACTCAGAAAATGTAATATTGCCAAAGCTGTAATCTAGTTGACTCACTCTATTCAGTGAGAGTCAAAAACCAGGATCATAAGTTATTTGTTTACAACCCAGCCCAAGCCAGCATGCTTATCTTACAACACCATGGTTTGTTAGTAGAAGAGTTCAGCCGCTGAATGATAAAAAAAAACACATTTGTTGAATCACAAAAAAATCAAAACGCAGTAACAAAGCCCCAGACATGGACTGAGCAACTAAAATCCTATACAAATGCAGATTCATTTCTGTACTTCAGGTATAGAAGCTGGTCTCTTTAGGTCCCAGATGTTTACAGACTGGTTTAAAGAAGAGAAAATGTTTTACAGGGATTAACAGTCTCAACCTTTGTATGAGTAAAATACCCGAGTGTGAGATGTTCCGTTATTTCTACGCTTTGTTGTGAAAAAAACATGATTTTCAAGTTTTTTCTTTCTGCTTCTATGTATATGACAAAATTGGCTCTCTTTGAATTGGGTCTTTCAGATCTTTTTTACTTGAGTGGCTGAAGACATGAGTTGAAAGAAAAGATATCTCTAAAAGAGGGAATATCTGAGAAGCAAGCTGTTCCATTTATGGTGGATTTAAAATCATTATGAAATCAGTATTTCTTCTTTAATATTGGAAAGGATTTGCTTAGTTCTACCTCCAGAGAATACAATTCAATTAGCCGGAGAATACGATTAAATTAACGTTTAGTTATGGATGAAATTTCTTTGAATAAGCCCAAGTTGGACACCAATGATCCATGACATCTCCATCAAAACACACTGTTGTGTGAATATGTTTCCATGAAAAGAGAAGCACAGACTCAACCTAAGCCATCACAGTGGGAATGTTCATTTTATGTTCTGTGGAACAAAAACAAAAAAAAGTGGAGCCCATTATCAGCAACATGGTCCAGGCTTGGTGATGGTGGGACATTGTTTCAGGGTTCCTGGAAAATGTCATATGGTGGATGGTGTTATTAATGCAGAATAACATGGGATGTGCTGGAATTTTTCCAGAAGGAAAACCCTTTAATTTACCTAAAAAGCATGGGTGCAGATAAAGTTAGAGATATTAGACTGCCCTGAGCCTCCACCATGAGAATATGGCCCATTCTGTTCCTCAAAGTTTATGTGGGGAGGAAAATCCGACATTCCTTTTGTTTCCAACTGATTAAAAGTTGAAAGTAAGAATCAGAGTTTGTTTTGTTTGGGTTTTTTTTTCATTTTTCAAATCACTCCATAATGTTGATAATATTCCAGTTAAGGTTGTCATAGTACAGCGCATTCAATTAAATCTTGTTGGTATTGTTATTGCCAGAAGCAATTTTCCTTCATGATAACCAGATATATAGAAATTGAGTTGTTTTTTTTTGTGATAACAGAACAGGCAAGCAGGTTTCCTGTATCATTTTATCGTGTAATCTTCACCTCCGAGTTCATTTAAATGTGTTTACACATCTTCAAAAACGGCTCTGCCACAGTTTGTTTTAATGTGGAGTCATTTTCTGCAGCAGTAATTCTGTGATAGAGCTGTGGAGGTAAATCACAACACAGAAATACTGCTTTGCTTCGCGGAGATTCGTAAATCTCTAAAGATTTAATGAGTGGCTATTATTCAAACTCTCAGGAGTCAGCTTAGTTAGTTGTGTTATATGTGCACCAACGAAAGGTACACAGGGGTCATGCTTTAACTATACAGAGGCAGTCTGCTTATTCTAATTGGCCTGTGGTTTCCTCACTATTTAAAGCCAAAATATCCATGTCTAATGCCACTATACATACTTGTAGTCTGTCCAAGAATACAGTATCATGGTAGCGTATAGAGCAACCCGGCTCAGGACATGTTAACATTCAATTTTGAGTGCAAGACAGAGTGAGAGCAACAAAACAGAATTTTTTCAATATTAAATTACAAGTGGATTAAAAATTTATCGTGAATGAGAAACAAGGACAGAAGCCCAGTTAGAGCACAATTAGCCGGGGTTCAGGCTGTACTGGCATTAGTCTGATGTGGAGCCATCGCATGAGCATGCAGGTTAGATTTTCTGCCTGCAGGATAGGAGTGGCATTGGTTTAATATTCTATTAGCAACTTGTTTCAGGCAAAACTTCAGGTAAATGCCTTTGTCAATCCACATTCTCCAGCCAGCCTGCTGATTCTCACCTATAAGCATAGCCTATATAGGATATCCTAGCCTAAAGCAAGCAATATGATAATCTACCTATGAGTCATTTTAAAGGAGATTATCACAAATCCTCAACGGAGGCAGGAGGAAACTCCTCATAATACCTATCCGTCACCATTGCTTATTGCATGCTCAGACCTGGAGGGTTTACCCATCATTTCCTCCAAAGCCTGACTCCAAAATAAAATGATCCACCTCACTATGTTGGGCTTAAGAAAAAAAATCAGTTGAAGATATAAATACACACACAAAGACATACACACAAAATGTGTCTATTTATAATCCTGATACAATACATGAATAACCTTTTTTTTTTTTTTTAACCCAATGCAGGCATCAGCTGTGCCATTATTAGTGTCAGGAATTGAATTCTGTCTTTTTACCAGTTAATGACATCCTTTCTGCCCTGAAGTCGGCAACAGGACAAATGATGGTTCGGTGCTAATCGGTTTCAGGAGCACAAAAGGGAGCCGTGTACAGTGTTGTTATCGAGCATCTGGTGTAAGGCTCATTTCTCTGATAAAAATCAAAAGTGTGAATTGAGGGCCTTCGAAGCTTATTACTTTTGATCTTTTTTCAATTTCGCCTTTCTGTTGTCTTTCCAAGTTAAGACGCTGAACAAAATCCTGGCAAGTTTACTGATTCTGAGGTTTTGTCGCTCACATCTCAATACAGAAAGCCCGGCGTGCAGTTTGACATGGACATTGGCCACATTATTGTTTCCAGTCTATAATTACTAACACTTGTTTTATTAAGTGAATTCAGGTTCCAGGTTGCTCAGGTGTTGTTCGTCATCCAGGGGCCAGGATGTCTTTCTGAGGGAACTACTCCAGTCTTTGCCTCTTTCTGCCTCATTTACTAGATCATTTTCGTCTTATAGTTTTCCTGTGTAGATATACGCAATGCGGTGGATTTTGAGAAGTAACAGCCAATATTGTTTTCGTGTACACAGCCATCAGGCAGAACAGAAGTGTTACAAAAGATGAGACGGTGCTTTCTGGGCTCTTCCAAAACATAATGCATTCACCATGAAGATAGATTAAAAGTTGTTCAACTAAAGAGCAGAAAAAAACAGAG